GAAGGCTGCTCTGAGGACCTGGAGTCTGAGAGGGGCAAAGTGTGAGCGCCTAGAGGTCCTGGGAGCCCGATCTGGGGGGAGAGGCCATCTTGAGGGCGGGAGAGAAGCCACCTGGCCTCAGTGAGCACCTGCCGGGGGCCGCCTCCAAACAACACTTGCTTCTCTGAACAACCGGAGGGTACTGCTGTCGCCCATTCGGCACGTGAGGGCTAATGATTGCCTAAAGGTGGGAGTAGTAGAGGGGACAAGCAGGAGAAGGAGGCTGGGGCCCGGCAGAGGAGGGATGGGGATCCAAGGGACAGGGCACCCGAGCTCCTGAGGAAGGGATTGTGTGATCTCCTGAGGCAAGAGGCAGACTATGCTGGAGCATAGGTGGGGAGAAGCTGACAAACTTGCGGAGAAACTGTTGCCACAATGCAGGCATGAGTGTGCAGGGCAGAGGCGGGAGGGCCCTGGGGCTGAGGGAAAGCCAAGTGGTCGGGGAGGACTCCAGCGGGACCCCTGGAGGGCGGGTGTCCAGAGCCCAGGTCAGCCAGCGTCCAGCTTGGGCCCGGCTCTGCCAAGAGGCTGGCAGGAGAGCCGGGGACTTCTCGGGCTTCTCGGGGCCTCCCAGGCCACCGGAGAGTGAGCTGAGGAGAAGTGTTCCCTGGGCAGGGCCTGGCCACCTCTTCTGCCTTTCTTGCCCATGCCACGGTGGGTCACTCAGACACTTCACCCACCCCCGGGCAGTGCCCACCCACTCCCCACATCCCCAGGATACCCACAGCTTGCACACGCCCACAGCTGCCCTCATGTGTCTCCACTCCTGAGGTGTGTCCGTCCCAACCCTGCGGGTCACCCGGGCTGCACACTCTTGTGGCATTCCTGTATCTGTGTGCAGACCTTCCCTTTGTCCAAGCCTCTCTCTTCTGTCTTCTCCTGCCACACCCATCCCCTGCACATCCCAGAGGTAAGGGGATGGGGGAAGAGGCAGCCAGACAAATGGGCTGAAGTCGGACCCACCACCTTCTTCTTCCCTTTCCCCACGAGTCCCTCTGGCACACAGACTGCCTTTGGGAGGTTTCCAGGTCCCCTTGGGGAACCCCTTATTGTTTATGTTGTCCTCATTTCCCCTGAGGAACAGGGTGGGAGGCATCCATGGTGTCTGGGAGGGCCAGCCCAGGGCCCGTTGTGTGTAGACCCCACAGTGGACCTAGGCTGGGCTCTGTTGCTGCCTTGCCTGATATGGTTGGTGACTATCATGATGTCTTCTGGGTCCTGGGTTACTCTTGCCCCAAATTGTTCTCTTCTAGCTTGGATCAAAAATGAGCTCCACTCTGGTTCAATCCTCTAGTGTGTGCCTGAGTTTCCCAAGATTTCAAGGAGCCTGAAAGGGATGAGATTCGGGGATGACTCGCTTGTCAAGGAGCACTCCACCCAGCCCTGGGCCAGGACTGGATAGGGTGGACCTGGAAACCTCCCAGTGGCCAAGAGCTTTTATTCCTCTTGGGAAAATCAAGTTAAAACTCAAACCAGTACCCCAAGTGATGCGAGGCGGTGTCTCTAGAGGTATTAGGAAGATGATGTTCTCAACATCTGTAGATCTCATTGAGTCATCTTCTGCCCTCCATATCCCAGGAAAGGAGACATGTCATTCAAATGACTAAGCCCTCTATCACTTAAGAGGAACAAGGATTAGAACCATCTATGCCTAGGAAATCCCCTGCAGTCTCTGAAATCCTCAGAATTGGGAAAGCATTGCCTAACCACTCTCTATTGCCAGCATGCCGGTCACTCCCTTTCCAGTCAGAGTATCCTCCGGGCCCCTGGCGGCCTTGCTCCATCAAGTCATCTCTCCCTTCCGAGGATTTCCCCCTTCTTCGGCTGCACTCTCCTTCCCAACCTTGTGGAGAGAGGTGGGACCAGCTCTCTTAGAAAGAACTGAAAAACAAATCAATGCTGGAAGTGTGGGTGTCTGATCAATCCTGTCTCTTCTAGGAGTATTTGTATCTTACCTAGAGATTTAAGCCTTAGGTAAAAAATACTGAGATTTTTTTTTTTAAGATTTTATTTATTTATGTGAGACAGAGAGAATGAGAGAGGGAGAGCACATGAGAGGGGGGAGGGTCAGAGGGAGAAGCAGGCTCCCTGCCGAGCAGGGAGCCCGATGCAGGACTCGATCCAGGGACTCCAGGATCATGACCTGAGCCGAAAGCAGTCGCTTAACCAGCTGAGCCACCCAGGCGCCCAAAAATACTGAGATTTTATTTAATGGGCTTAATGGGAGAATTTTAGGCATGCACTGATAATAGGAAAGGGATTTTAGAAGCAAAGGGGCCTTTACAGGGTCGATCAAATCATGCTAAGTAAATGGGTATAGAGTTGGTGGGGTCCCTGCCTACCGGCTCCTTCCTACTATACAAGAGGCAGACCTGAGGAGAATGTCTCAGGCTGAGGAGGAATGGTGGGTGTTCCAGGAAAAGCCAACGGAGGGATCCCAGGAGATCCCTGGGGAGTCTCCCTATAGGCAGAGCAATTAGAGATCCAAGTTGCTTACCTATATCTGGGGTGACTCAGCCCAGAATTTGATACAGTGCTCTCAAGCAGGAAGTTGGGCTTTTCCATTCAATTCATTTATTTATTCAACAAATGATTAGCAAGTGCTGACACATGGTCTCCAGGCCCTCCCAGCATTCAGGGTGCAGTGGAGACAGATGCTCTGACTTGCACTGGGGTGCAGTGTAGCCAAGCCCTGCCAAGAGAAGGGCAGAGACTCTAAGCTGGGGGGGGCACCTGGCCGAGATGTGGGGGTTCAAGGAAGACTTCCAGAGGAGGTTCCTTCTGAAACCTGAAGGGGCTAGCCAAGGGAAGGGTGAGGCAAAAGTGGAAGAGAACGGTGTTCTAAGCAGAAGGAATGGCAAGACAGCGTGGCACTTCTGAGACCCACAAGTGACTGGGTTTGGCTGGAGTCTAGAGGGTGAGCGCAAGCACTTTGTGTGTGTGTGTGTGTGTGTGTGTGTGTGTGTGGTGGCAGGGCAGGGGCTGGGTGATAGGGAGAGTAGAACGAGGAGGCTGAGGCTGGGGAAGTAGGAGAGACAGCCATGTTGAGCGGTTGGAACTCCTTCTTCTTGAGGGCAGATGGGAGCTACTGCAAGATTTTAAACTGGGAGTAATATGGTCAGCTCTCAAAAGATCCCTCTGGTTTCTCCTGAGAGAAAAGACGAGAGTAGGGCAAGACAAGAGCCAGGGCGCCCAGTCGGTAAGCGGCAGCAGAGGAGATGGTGGCCTGCAACAGGGCAGTGGTGGTGCAAGTAAGAAGTGGGTGGGCTGGAGAGGTCAACGGAGTTAAACGTCATGGAAGAGCCAAGGATGGTACTTGAGGTCTGGCCTGGCCATCTGAATTGATGGTGTGGAGGAGCAGGTTGGACATGGAGGGGATGGGTGGGGATGATGAGGTCATCATTTTCTTTAGATTCTTCTGGGTTTTGGTCATTCTTTGTGTCTGGATTAAGCAATTATGACCTCTAAAAGGCAGTGTCATCCCACCTTTATTCAGTGGGAAGAGGGCCATGAATTCCAATTCACTGAACGTCAAGGCCTCAAAGATTAATCAGACATCGGAGATGAAATCAGAAGCTAGGGATGCTTATGATGCAAACCATGGTTCTTAACTCTGCTAATGTTCTCAGTGGAGTGACAATGTAAGACTAGTCAGTCCAGGGGGGACACCTTTCATTCTCACAGGACATTACTACTAATAACTATGAACTAGTTTTGGTCAGTCCTATCTTCACACCAGCTCCACCATCTAGAGGATTCTCTGACACCGGAGACTGTATTGACTTTTACCATTTTCTACACATCTGGTGTGTACCCTGGGAATTACCCCAGCAGATTGCCAGGAGAGGGACAAGGGCAGGTACAGCACCTCTTCCTCCCTCCTCCCAGGTAGAATTTTTTTTTTCACCTCTATGCCTTCTGCTGCTCCAGCCAGAAGACCTGAGAGGCCTTCCTCTACTTTGGGAGGGCCTTTTAAGAACAAAGCCTTTGTACCTTCTCCAGAACACATCCAGCAACATCACCCTTGGGTTGTTCATTTCAAATGAGAAAAAAAAAGTACATGCCCTCAGATGTGAAGGTTTCTTGGGTCACATGCCTCAGGCTAGGAGACCAGTGTAGGGATGAAGAGCCTGGCTAGGTGCAGTCAAGACATTAGTCCTATGTAAATGATGGCCCCTGCTTCTAGATTCTCCTAAACTCTTATTCCACCCAAGCCCTTCCCCATCCTGGCCCTCTGGGCAGGCTCTGTTCCCCTGCTTCTCACCAGCCCGGAGGAAGAGCAGAGCCCCACTTTGTTTTTCCTGGTACCTTGCGCTAAGGCAAGAGTTAAACTGGACTCTGTGGGGGCTGGTCCTCCAGATCTTCCCCTGGTGGAGGAAAAACTGTGCAGCCAGACCTTGTCCCAACCTAGCAGGCATTTGCTCAGGGAGCTGGGATGCTTCTGAAAAGAGCCAGAGCCATCTATGTCCAGGAGAGTGATCAGTGGGACATGAACCCCCTCTCTAAATTTTCTAGCCTGTAGGCTGTGGTCTTCTCGGGGGTTCTGGAACAAAGGTCTCTGGAGAGTCAGACCCATGAGTGAGGAGGGGAGACTAGGGCTTGCTCTGGAAGTGACTTGCCTGAGGTTTCCTTCTGACTCTCCACTCTCCTCTCTGGACCCGGGTTGGTTCCCCACCCTTCCCCCCCAACCCTTGTCTTCCTTGGACAGTGAGCCAGACAGACTGCTTTGTGAGCCTCTGGCTGCCCACCGCTTCTCGTGAGAAGCTGAAGACTAGGACCATCTCCAACTGCCCGAACCCAGAGTGGAATGAAACCTTCAGCTTCCAGATCCAGAGCCAAGTGAAGGTGAGACTCAGAGGACACCATGTGTCTGTCAGCCCTGCCTACATTTCTATTCTCCTCCATGCCTGCTTGTCCTTCTGTTTGCTTTTGTGTCCTTCTTATGTCTATTTGTCTTTCTTCCCACCCACTTCTTCTCCTCCTAGTGACCCATCTTCCCACTCACCCACTTCTTCATTAGGCCTGCCTCATATTTGTCCCTCTGAGTCTACTTATCCTTCTACCTTCTTTCCTTCCTCTCTTGTCCTTCTACCTAATTGTTGCTGGAATTTGTGGTTCCTGCCACAAAACTGAGCGTGTTTCAGAACATGCTCCAAGTAGGAAAATACATGGAGGGGAAGGGCCATTCTATTCACTAGGTCCAAGGCCAGTCTAATTCCAGCCAGAGGGTTTTCCTTATCTTAACTCCTTTTTAGAAGGCTTTATTATTTCTAATTCCTTGAGTGTCTGTTCTTTCATTTATTGGGCTTTTGTTTCATTGTGTTGGCCTTCTTCAGGTATATGGCAACTCTCCTATGGGAGAGTTCTCCCTTGAGCATACTGAGCTGTGACCAACTCAGCAGAGTGCCCTTTTTTATTTTTATTATTATTATTTTTTTTGCCTAATGTGGGGCTGAAACTCATGACCATGAGATCAAGACCTGGGCCAAGATCAAGAGTCGGACACTTAACTGACTGAGCCAACCCCGGTACCCCCTCAGCAGAGTGCTCTTAAAAACAAACTTGGCCTCATCATGGAGGTATCAACCCCAGTCTTGGGGCATTTGAGGCTTGATATCTCCAGCTTTCTGCTTCCATATTTTAGGGTGATTCTTTATTTCTGGTTCATGATAAGTCTTTTTTGTTTTCAAGAAGGGCTTTAGGGCCACCTGGGTGGTTCAGTCAGTTAAGCCTCTGACTCTTGATAATGGCTCAGGTCATGATCTCGGGGTCTGCTTGGGATTTTCTTTTCCTCTCTTTCTGCCCCTGCCCACCACCCCCCCAAAGATAAATAAATAAGTCTTTTTTTAAGAAGGGCTTTATATTTGTTACTATAAAAATATCTCTTCTATCATATTTATGGTTTTGGCGAGGAAGGAGGATTTTGGCATGGGCTTTGCCATCTTGAAATCAGAATTTCGACTTCCTTTGTCTAAAGATCTATGGGGCTGCTCATATGAATCTATGGGGTTGGTTCTGGGGCATGTCTGTGTTTCTAGTAATTACAAGGTCAACAGATCTCATTCAATAAGGAACCCTCAGACCACTTTATGTCCACCTGATAAGGACCAAAGAGGCAAACCCAGCCCCAACCCTCATCTCCCAGGGTCCTTGAACCAAGAGACCTCAGAGGCTAATCCATGTTACCCAAAACCATTGACCTCAGTGTTCAGCCAGATGTCAGGGTAGCTGCTCAACTCTTGACATGCAGCTTTGAGACCACCCATAAGACCTCTTTAGGGGCTGATGAATCAAAGGATAGAGTTCAAACACCTCACCCCAAGCCCATCAAGTATGAGAATCCCTGTAATCTGCCACATCACCTTCCAGGAGTGTTAAGGTGTTAGCTTCCCTGAATTGTTGTTTGTTTTTTTTTAATTGGGTTTTCTAGCATTTAATGGGCTGTCTTCAGCTCCAGGGGCCCCAGTGCTGAACACAGTCTATGAGTTGGCAAGGATCTTGCTTGTTCTGCCCTTCTATCATTCCCCCAGGTGAAATGATATCCCTTACACTTCACAGGCCCTTGCCAACCTTGCAAAAGAGCAAAATTCTCCAGGAGAATCAGAGCAGAGGGTCAGGAAGTCTTCAGAGAATTAGAAAGGAGGGTTTAGATACCATCACCCCTGAGTTCATTATTCTACAAATGTCTTTCATACCTGAGCAGGGACCTCTGTGCTGTTTCCCATCCCTCAGACCCACCTCCTTCCTAGGAAAATGGGGCCATGCAAACACAGTAACCAGACTTGCACCCTCCTTTCTCCCCTAGAACGTGCTAGAGCTGAGCATCTGTGATGAAGATACACTGACACCAGATGACCATCTCTTGACAATCCTCTATGACCTCACCAAACTCTGCTTCCGAAAGAAAACCCATGTGAAGTTCCCACTCAACCCAGAGGTGGGTGCTGGTGTCCAGGCCCTCAGCCTCCTGCCCCATGGGAGCAGCTGGTTATGTTCATGATGCCACCCTACGGTTTCTTTCTGTGTCACCGAGTCAGGAAACGACGGTACTGCTGGCTAAGTCCCAGTGCTATGCTTACCAGCTGTGTAACCTTGCAGAATGTATTCAATTCCTCCGCATTCTGTTTCCTCATCTGTCCAGTGGCAATGATGATACGTACTTCACAGGGCTGTTGTGGTGCTGAAATGGGAAAACATAATTAAGGCCCTTAGCACCGTTCACGGTACAAAATGGAGATGAAGTACGTGTTGGTTCCCTTTTTTTCCCTCAGAGTCCTGCTGCTGAGATAGCCCAGGGGACGGAGGGCAGATGAGGGTAAAGAAGGGCAAATCTGCAAATCAGAGAACGTCAGAGCTAGAAAAGACCAAGGTGTTATCAATTCAATCATTCAACAAATCCTTGATTTCCTACTATGGGCCAGACACTGTTCCAGGCCCTGGGGACACGGCAGGGGACGAGTATCCCTGCTCTTGGCTGGCTTACATTCTGGCAGGGAAATTAAGGTCCAGTGAAGTCACAACTTCCTGAAGTTACACAAGAGAGGTGTGAAGGAATAAATGAGGGAAGGGGCCCCTATCCTTCAGAGTTGAGCTGGCTGGGGACGATATCTCAACTCTCCCTTGCCCTGGGTACTGAGCCCCTTGGGAAGGCAGGCGAGCAATGGGAGGCTGGGGGTAGAAGCTAAAGGGACATGTCTGGGGGGCAGACAGGGGCAGCCCCAGGTCACAGCTGCCTTCCCTTTACCCCCTTGCCAGGGCATGGAAGAGCTGGAGGTAGAGTTCCTGCTGGAGGAGAGGTGAGTAGGCCCAGCCCCCTAGGACCCCGCCATGGTCCTGACTCCCAAGTGGCTCTGAGCAGGCATTTCAGAGCCTGGTCTGCCTTTTTGCTGCCCTCGCCTCTCCCACTCTCACCCCTGGCACCCCACACTGCGCCTCAGAGTCACTTGGGAGCTTCTAAATACTGTAGGTGCCTGGGCCCCAGCCCTACTCATCCTGTTCTACTGACGTCAGTTTTGCTTCAGAGATCTAGAACTCTGGCCAAATTGCCTGCCTCAGCTCCCTTGCATTCCTGAGAGTGGCCTCTGGGAAGAATTCCTGCCACATGGTGATGGGGCCTTGGAGAGGCCAGGCTGAGAAAGAGGTCAGGACCAGGGGGTTTCCTCCTTGGCCCTGAACTGTTCAAACAAACTGCCCCAGGGGCACCTGGCTGACTCAGTTGGTTACTTGTCTGCCTTTGGCTCAGTTCATGATCTTGGAGTCCTGGGTTCAAGCCCCACGAGCCCTGAGTCTGGCTTCCTGCTCAGCAGGGAGTCTGCTCCTCCCTCTCCCTCAGCCCCTCCCCCTTGCTCATGTGCGCTCTCTCTCTCTCTCTCTCTCTCTCTCTCTCTGTCTCAAATAAATAAATAAAATCTTAAAAAAAAAAAAAAAAAACCTCCCCCAAACTCTGGCCTGAAGCAGCCTGTCCCCCTCTGCAGCCAACTCTAGAACCACATCAAGGAGATGCTCAGGTCCAACACGTGGGGTTATTTCTCATCATTTTCAACTAGGAAAATGACCCAGGGTCCTGGAGATATGAGTATGCTGGGCACTCAAGTAGAACTGGGCCCCAGAGCTGGAGGATAGGAAGGAGAAGAGGACAAAGAGAGAAGGGGAGAGAAGGGAGAAGCCTGCTCAGGATACTAGTGTGCCTTGTGATTGGGCAGCCGACTCCTCTCCCGGTAGCCCTGATAGGGCTGAGCCCCTGGACTTAGGATCAGCCCGGGAAAATGCAGAGGGTGAGAGGCAGGAGTTAGAACAAGAGCTTGTCAAACTCCACTCTGAGAGAGTCCTCTACCTAGGGGCACTTGGAATTCTTTGGGCTGCCTCATTTACCCACAACAGCTGCTTAACAAATTAAAATCAACTTTGTCTCCCATTGAAGAACATCTGGGCTCTCTCCTCCAATTCTTGACTCAGTAAGACTTGGGGAAAAAGTCCTTGTAGCTTGCAAAATGAAACATGTCGAAATTGGTAGTAAGAGTTGATCTGGAGGCACAATCATCTTGGGCCTAATTTTGGCAAGGGAAGCTGTAGACTCCCATAGGCTAATTGTAACCTTGGAGACTTATATTCTTGACTTTATAACATGAAGACATTTCATATGCACCAGGCCCTTCTCCGGCTGGGTCAGAACTGTTTGTTTAATGCATGAATTAAATAAAGCCCAGAAAGGAGAATGGGTCATTTCTGCTACCAGAACTCTTTACATCTGCTGCAGGTGGCAGGCTCGGGCCTTTTCCTGCTACCTGTTTATCCTCATAGTTCCTTACAGTTGTGCATAAAGCACAACTTATGCATCTGGTTGAGCATAAAGAATAGTTAACCCTTTAAAAGGTGGGGAGGGGCACCTAGGTGGCTCAGTTGGTTAAGCGACTGCCTTCGGCTCATGTCATGATCCCAGGGTTCTGGGTTCAAGTCCCACGTCAGGCTCTCTGCTCAGCGGGAACCTGCTTCTCCCTCTCCCTGCCACTCCCCCTGTTTGTACTCTCTCTCTCTCTCTCTCTATCAAATAAATAAATAAAATCTTTAAAAAGAAAAATAAAAAAGGAACTCTTCTTTCCAACCTATACATTTATTTTTTTCCTATTCTATTTAAAATGTATGCCACTTTTCTCCTTAACAATCCACAGATCTAAGGTTGCTTTTTTTTTTTTTAATATTGTATTTATTCACTTGAGAGAGAGAGAACGAGTGAGCTGTGGGGTGGGGCAGAGGGAGAGGGAGAAGCAGACTCCCTGCCAAGCAGGAAGCCCTCATGCGGGGCTTGATCCCAGGACACTGAGATCATGGCCTGAGCCAAAGGCAGATAGATGCTTAACCACCTGAGCCACCCAGGCGCCCTGTGATCTAAGATTTCTTAAGCTGCTATTTTTGATAAGGATCAAGGAGGCTCTGCTATCTCATTATTGACCCTATCCAGGTTCTTTAACACCTCTTGAGAAATCAAGCAAGAATGATATAACTGACCAGGAGTTCTCACTTTGTTTTCCAGTCCCTCTCCACCCGAGATGCTCATCACCAATGGCGTGCTCGTGGTAATTTGTCCTTCCAGGTTCCTGTAGCTCCGGAGGCCACACGCGGCTGCCGCTCCCAGGGGAACAGAACTGTGGGGAGAATACGGCCCACCTAAGCCCTTGTCCTAGAGCCTGCCAGGAGTCAGACTAACTAAAGCAGGCCAACGGGGCTTGGGCAGGTGGGGCAGGGGCCGGGCCCCTGCTGGGGAGGCGGGAGCTGGGGCATCCATCCCCTGGCCCAGCATCCCATATCCCACAAGGGTGAACCCTCTCCTTGGGAACCTCCCCAATAAAAGCACCTACTTGCAAGCAGCCTCCTCCCATATTCAGCCTCTGTCCCCTTCCCCCCCAGCTCCAATTCCTCTACAAGCATAAGCTCGGTGTTTTAAAAGATTTTCATAATTCAGCTGTTGGTACAGACACTTCAGCATCTAAAGCCTCAGGATTCGAGATCTCTCCCCCAGAAATCAGTCTTTAGGAGGTTGTGGTAAAAGAATCTGACTTTTAGAAGACTATCTTGCTGGAAGTTCTCACTTCCAAAGCTCACAGTGGAAAGCTCCCTCTTTTTATTTTGGACCAAATCGTGCAGCTTCCATCCCTGACCTGTAGCTGAGAACATGACCCCTAGTAAATGGTGACCATATAGCCTAGATTTTTCAGGACTGCTTCATTTTCAAGTACTCCATCTCTTAATGAGATGACAAGTCTTGACTGGGTGGTCAGCACACCATTGTTCCCTGGAGTCAGCCCCAAATCCGACTAGCGCTGAATTTATCCCCTGGTTCATCTCCTCCATTTGGCCTGGCAGAGGGAGGGGGCAGATGGTGCTCAGACTGACCCTCCCTTCCTTTGTTTCAGTCTCGGCAAGTCTCCCGCCTGGAGGTTCATGCAGAATGCCAGAGGCGGAAGAAGAGCAGGAAAAGTGAGTCCTTTGACCTCTTCTGCTGCTGGGGGGACAGGCGTGGTGGTCAGTGTTTCTTCCCACAGCTGCCCTGGGCTCAGTCCCGGCTGAGCTTGGCCGGGGCTCCTCAGGATCACCTCACCCTCAGAGGCCATGAACCCCTGGCCTCCCCCCTGCTCTGTAGGGACATGCACTTCCAGGCACCCATGGGACCCTCAGAACCTTGCAGGCCTGACGAGCGCCCTGGGCCGGGGTCAGTGACACAGTACGGCCCGCTCTGCCCACACGGGTCGGGGCTACACCCCTGGTCTGGTGCACCGGTCAGCCCCAGGACAGGTGGGCCCTGACAGCACCCACAGCCCCTCTAGCTGTGCCCCTTCCTCGTGGAAGGTCCCAGCATCTTATGGCTGGCAGGGACCTAAGAGACCCACAGTTACAAGAAGCTTCCGTTCACTGCCCCGTCCCATCTCAGGAGAGCAGCATGGCTGTGCGGACATGGGAGAGGGAGGGGGAAGAAGCCGCACCCCCAAACTGGTGGTATGGTGAGGGCCTGTTTTCAGTGCAGGGCACCTCCTGGAGAAGCAGAATCTAGGAGGACCTGTCCAGAGGACTCAGCATCTCAGGGCTTGCTGCGGACCTCGTCTGTCCGCATCATACACAGCCTCATTAAATGCAGATTCCTGGGCCCTGCCCGGACCTGCATGTTAACCAGTGCCCTAGATGCTTCTAAATCCCTGTCCCAGGTTCTGCCAGCTCATCAGCTTTCTCCTGGCCCAAGTTGTGGCAGAGAAGTGAGAGGCTTCTAGGGGCTCAGGCTTCTTGTCCCCTCTTTCAGTGAAGGACCTCCTGGTGACAGTGAAGGAGTCCTTCGAGCACACCCAACATGTTTCATGCTGCCTGGAGCCCTGCTGCGCAAACCCAGCCTGCTTCCACTACCCCGAGTACTTCCAGCCCTGCCTGCACGTGGACGTGCCCAAGAGCCCGTGGGGCCACGGGGTACGAGACAGTGGCGGTGGGGGCTGGGGGGGACCCGTGCAGGCGGGGCTGCCAGAGGAGCCCCTCACCCCCTCACAGAACCCTCCCATCCTTCCAGCTTTGCTGTTGCTGTGCACAGAGGAAGACCAGCCCTGTCCGCCAGCCCCTTGACTGCCTCCCCGATGGCCAGACGGTGACCCTGCCCGTGGTAAGGGGCCCCTGAGTAGCAGCGCGGGCCCGAAGCTCCTGTGGGAGGGAGAGGGGGAGAGCAGGAGGGGAGGGGATGCGGGGGGGGGTGTCTCTCAGGCAGGACAGAGGAGTGTTGTGGGGGAGGAGACTGCAGGCTGCGCTGTGGAGCCAAAGAGGGTGTGTAGAGGCTGAGCTGAGGATCATAGAGGGAATCCAGGAGAGGGAAGGAGGGTAGCGTGTGTGCGTGTGCATATGCATGTGCACATGTGTGTGCTGAGTCAAGTCAGGGTGGACCATGTGGCGAGACGCCGCTCCTTCGCTTGGGACCACTTGGCTCTAAATTGTCATCCCTGAAAGGCTGTTCATCTTTCCCTTCCCAGGGTGAGAACTGTGAATTACATATGAAGTCTACACCCTGGTAAAGTACCCTCCTTCTGTCTGTCCCTCTGATTTACTCAACCTAGGGAGTGAAATGTGGTTTTGATTTCTATTTCCCTGATGGCTGATGATGTTGAGCATCTTTTCATGGACTTACTGACCATTTTTATATCTTTTTGGAGAAATGTCTATTCAAATCCTTTGTCCATTTTTAAGGTGGGTTACTTGCCTCTTATTGCTAAGTTGTAAGGGTTCTTTGTATACTCTGAATACAAGTCCCTTGTCAGATATATGATCTGCAAATATTTTCTCTTAGTCTGGAGGTTCTCTTTTTATATTCTTGGCAATGTCCTTGGAAGCAAAGGCATTTTGAAATTTGGTGAAGTCCGGTGCATGCATATTTTTTCTTTTGTCACCTATATTTTTGGTGTCATATTTCAGAAACTATTGCCTAATCCAAGGTCATGAAGATTTACTTCCCTGTTTTCTTCTAAGAGTTTTTATGGTCTTAGCTCTCACATTTAGGTCTGTGACAGATTTTGAGTTAATTTGTATATACAGTGTGAAATAGGGATCCAGCTTCATTCTTTTGCATGTGGATATCGGGTTGTCCCAACACCATTTGTGGAAAAGACTATTCTTTCCCCTCCGAATTGTCTTGGCACCCTTGCTGAAAATCAGTGATCTGACAAGAGGAACACTCAGCAACTATCAACCAGTGTTGTTATTACTGTTGTTTTATTATTTATTTTTTGTTGAGGCCAAGGAAAGAGTTATTTCCTCACAGTTGTGTCTTAGGCCTGTGCTCAGCATGGAGGAAACAAGATGGCAGAGCTCCCAGGCTCTGCTTTCAAGGACATGTGATCTGGTTTGTGACTCAGGCCACTAAGTAAGACTCAGGTCAGAAATTGTCAATGCCCATTCACCCAGAGTCCCTGGAAAACTGAGCCTGGGAGGACACCCGGGATGTGAGTAGGCAGAGGGAGGAAGCTTCTGGTGAAGGCAAGGGCTGCACAAAGGCTCAGAACCGGGACTGCTTCCAGAATCTGAAAGCCTATGGGCCCCTCCAAGAAGTAGCAAATGGTGAGGTTGCACAGAGCAGCTAGGGTCTTGACTGCCAGGCCAGGAGCCTGGACTTGTCCAGGGCAGGGATGTGGTAAAAAGAAGGCAAGTGTTGGACATGCTATGGCAGCTCCGCCCCACCTGCCTTGCGGACCTGTACAGATGAGAGGGTGACATCAGGAATATGAAGGGGTTTTGTCAGTTGCACAAACACACAGAAGGAGTATTTACTCCAGGAGCAGGGAGAACTTACCAAAGAATGTGAACGCCACAGGAAAGCCCCTTACTGTAAAGCCTGGTCCAGAGGGATTGGCCAAAATGATCCCAGGGCTCCTTGTCACCCATGTCTAGCCTCAGGTTGTAGAAGATACCTGGGGCAGCCTTCCTGGACTTCCCAGATCGGGCTGAGGATGCGGAGGGTTTGATGAGTTCCGCGATTTTGTCGAGGACCTGCTCAGAGTGTGTCAGCTGAGGCTTTAGGGGCTTTCTGTTTGTCAGTCTCATTAAGTGCTGAAGACAGTGCTGGGAGGTAAGCACGATTAGCCCCATTTTACAGATGAGAAACAGAGACCCCAAGTCACAGAAATGGTATATGGCAGAACCAGTCTTCAAGCCTATGACCCACTGACCCTAAAGTCATGTCTTCATCATGGTGAAGTCTACAGGCTCGCTTATCAAGGTCCTCTGTCCCCGTAGCCCTCAGACGCTGGATGTGCGGCTGGGCTTCAGCCTGTGCCCCGCCGAGCAGGAGTTCCTGCAGAAGCGGAAGGTGGTGGTGGCAAAGGCCCTGCAACAGGTGTTGCAGCTGGAGGAGGACCTGTCTGCAGACGAGGTGGGTAAGCAGAGGCCTACCGGCCGGGGCTTCATCCCCCTCTGAGCCGAGCTTGTCCTGCCCACAACGCACCCTGCCAGCCGCCCCCAAGCCCTTCTCTGTCCCAGGGTGGCCTCGCCACTGCCTTTCCTGGGTGCCCATCTGAGGGCTGTGCTGGATGTGATTCAGTTGTGTGTTTGCAAGGGGAAGGGCGGGGAGGGCAAAGTAGAGAGAGCAAGGAAGGGGCCTCGGCTGCTCCTCCCCATGCACCAACAGGTCCGGAGGTGACTAATGAAGTCTTACTTACACAGAGACACAACGGCCTCTTCTCCCCAGCCAGGAAAACATCTGAAGCTCTACCACCTCCACTCAAAAGGCCCTGGGCTCTTTGTTCTGCAATTCTCTCTTCTCCCCAAATAGCACACATACATAACCCCCCCAGAAAAAAACAGCAACTGGAAACTACAGAGAAGCAGCTTCCCTTGCAGGGCCAGCTTCTTCCCACGGGGCAGAAGGTGTGCCTTTGTTAGAGCCCTTTGTCACCTCCCTGCTAGGGACTGAGGTCCACACCTCCCAGGCAGCAGGTCACCCTCCAAGTGCAAGAGGATGGAGACCTGGTGCCCGAGGAGGGCTCTGATGGGGCTTTAGCAGACAGAAGGATCTTACCGTCCCTGCTCAAATAAAGAGAGTACATCTTGGCAAGGATCGCCCTCCCCACTTTCCCATCTTTAGGAGAAAACACCAAGGGCATCTTCGACCTATGTATATCTAGAGGTGACAACCCTGCTCCTTCCCACATCAAGTAGGAGCAGTGATTCCTGTTGTTGTACATACAATATATACCGAGCACCTCTCATGTGCCAGGTCTGGGCCTGGTGCCCTAATATCATATCCTTGCACAGAAGGAACCAGTAGGGAATCTCACACTAGCTGGGTTCTCGAGCAAGTCCCTCGGCCTGCTGGACCCCAGTGTCATCATCTGTTAACTGAGGGCTAGACTAACAGTGCAAAGAATTCTTCCAGCCACAACGTTCTGATTGAGCAAGCTGTGTGAAGCTTCGGAGCTGCTTACCCTCACCAACTATTGGGTTTGGAGCGAAGATCCAATTCTAGACCTACCAGGTGGCCCATCACTCTATGAAAGGCAGTTTTCAGGTCACTCAGTGCCTCGCTCTCTGCTGTCTGTAGCCAGTTCTCCCTCCTCCACTATTCTTTCTAAGCTTCCGTCTGTCAGTCTGTGTCTTCTCCTACCCCGCACCGCCCCAATAGTCTGCCTCTGTATGCTCCTAGGTACCGCTGATAGCCATCATGGCCACCGGGGGTGGAACAAGATCCATGACCGCCATGTATGGCCACCTGCTGGGCCTGCAGAAGCTGAACATCCTGAACTGTGCCAGCTACATCACTGGCCTGTCTGGGGCCACCTGGTAAGGAGCTGGCTGCCACTGCCCTGTGGAGCCCAGAGCAAGCACTAAACAGGCTAGCTGGGGGTCTCTGGTGAAGCTCTCCCCACCCCCAGGTAGGGTGACTCACAAAACCTGGGCAGCTCTACCCCTTATAGCTGTGTGACCTTGGGCAGCAGCTTCACTTCTCTGAGTCTCAGTTTCTGAATCTGTAAAATGGGTCTAACAGTAGCACTGACCCCATGGGGTCATTGTGTGAGGCTCGCCCAGTACTGGGTGTCCTGGGGCTGCAGCAGGGACCCAGAAACACAGTGACTAGGATGCATGAACCACTCCCGCCACTGACCCATCCTGCCGGGAAGATGCAGGTGCCCTCTCCAAGCGTGCCAACTCTCCGAGGCCGCGCGGGGCTGGCCCAGCTGCTCTAGCTGCCCCCACCCCAGCGCACCCCCATCCTTGCCTTGCCCCTCTCTCTGCCCTGGGGGCTCCCTCACTCTCTGCTGGTGAGCAAGGACAGCGAGCCAACCCCCCCCCGCAACATGAGGCCAGTGTGAGGTCGACTTCTCCACAGGAGCCACCGTGCCTAGGGCCCACACTGCTTGTAGAAGCCCAGAAAAATGTTTTACCTTCTTTTAAGATCAGGAAAAAAAAAAAAAAAAGAACTTCTCGCCTGAGGACAAATATAACATTATTATATTCGTTTTTATACAACAATCATAAAACATAATTTTTAATATTTTTATGGTGGAAGAGACCCACCGAGGTCATAACGCAGCCCTGGCAGGGGACCCTTGACCACGAGGGGCTGCATCTTCTTCTGTCAGGGACTGGGGCCTCTGAGCCCCCGAGGTCCCAAGCTGGCCCCTCATCCAGGAGGAGCTCTAGGTAACTTTCATCTGAGCAGTGGATGTGAACTTTCCCTAGAAAGGCCAAGGGCTGCTGGTGCATCAGGAACTCTGAGGCTTCAGCCCAGATGGGACAGAAGGACAGCTGACGTTTATTGGCACGGCCCATGGGTGATACACTAAGGAGAGAAAACCTGCTTCCATCAGGGCCAAGGGGCGCCTGCATCCTTCTGAGCAGGAGACTGGGAGGAACTTCGGGGGAAGTGGGGGGAAGGGAAGGGTCTCCTGGCCTGGGAAAGCACTGGGAAGTATCCTTTTAAAATCAATCATTTCTCATGGTTTTGAAAGCTCTTTAACCATATAAAAATAAGAGTGAATCTTATGGAGAGCAGCGTGCTTTTTGTCCACGAAATCTCTTGACCAACCCCCACCTTCCCAGACCAGGAACAAGCCCTGTGAAGGAAGAGGCCACTGTTCAGACAACAGTGACGCTGCAGACAAGGTCACCTAGGGCACAGGGTTTCAGGGTGCTGTCCTGACCTCGACAGAAAGGCTGGGTCCAGGCCAAGAAGAGACCCGGGGCTAGAGGGGTCTCCGTCTTTGTTTTACTCCTTCCCACTGCCCCCATATAAGTTCAGCAGAAGCAGGGGAAATAAATCTTTAGCCAGCATCATAATTATGGGAATGAATGTGGCAGAGTGGAACGAGTCCAAGATCTGGAATCAGCCAAGCCTGGGTTCCAGTGTTGGCCTCACGGCCCCACGACCCAGCACACATTTTGTGCTGGCCACTGTTCGAACCACTTTAAATTGCATTAACTCGTGTAATCTTCACAATAACTCTTGGAGGTAGGTAGAGTAATAATTCTCTCCATTCCCACAGATGGGGAAACTGATGTGAAGAGCAGTTAGATAACTTGCCCAAGATTAGACAGCTAGTGAGTGGTAGAGTCTGGTTTTGAACCCAGGAAGATCTGGGTCCAGAATCCTCACTCTTTTTTCTTTTTCTTTTTTTAGATTTTATTTATTTCTTTGAGAGAGAGAGAGAACACGAGCAGGGGGAGGGGCAGAGAGAGAGGGGGAATCATACTCCCTGCTAAGCAGGAAGCCCGATGCAGGGCTCGATCCCAGGATCCCGGGATCATGACCTGAGCCGAAGGCAGACGCTTAACCGACTGCACCACCCAGGCGTCCCCAGAATCCTCACTCTCAAGCAACATGCTGTACCTGGTACATGGTGCCCATTGTGATTATGAATAATAATGTTCACCCCTTTCCTCCAGGCTCCTTTCCTGGTGAGTTAGGGTCTCCCATGATCTGTCCATCTTCTCTCTGGCCAGGGTCCAGTGTTGATCGGACCTGGGCTGGCTCAGTTCTGTCTCCATGTGTGTGTCTCTCTCTCCAGGACCATGGCTACCTTGTACCGTGACCCTAACTGGTCCTCCAAAAACCTAGAGCCTGCCATATATGAGGCACGGAGGCACGTGGTCAAAGACAAGATGCCTGCCCTGTTCCCAGACCAGCTCTCCAAATTCCAGGAGGAGCTTCGGCAGCGCAGTCAGGAAGGCTACAAGGTCACCTTTACAGATTTCTGGGGCCTGCTGATTGAGGCCTGTCTGGGGGATGAGGTAGGTGCTCAGGTTCTTCCGAGGTCCAACCTGCCCTGGCTGATGACCAGCTCTCTTTCTTCATGGCTGGGAAGAAGGGGGGTGCGGTTCTGGACTTACTTCTCATGAGAAGGAAGTTAGCTTAGACCTGCAGATTCATCTGTGGACAGTAGGAAGCATGAGGTGCCTGAGTGCATGATGGAGAAAGATGGTGGAATTGTCTTCCCACATGCCTTTCATGTATGACTGAGACCCTTGTGGTGGGGATGGCTTAGGAGCAGTCCTGCCGAGCGGCAGCATGTCCTCTGAGAGCCATGCCAAGACACCAGGAGAGAACACAGGGAGGGAGCTGGGGGAGGCTGGAGAGGCATCAGACTGTGATACAAGTCTGACCCCAAGTGGAGGAGAGAGGGAAGAAGGGCTGGGTGGAAGCATCCTAGATGGCTGGTCTGGAAGGTTCAGCAAGGCCCTTGGAGAATCCTCTAAACAAGCTGTCTGTCAGAGGAGTTTGGTGCCCGCCATGGGCATAAATGGGCCTGCCTCAGGATCCCTGCTGCTCTCAGTCATGTGCTGGTCTAAATGCAGGTCATCCCTAAAATGAAGGATGACCTGAACCTCATCTTCAAAGTGCATTCATTCCTTCATTTTTTTTTTCATTCAAAAAAATTAAGTACCTCCTGCACGTCAGAAACTGTGCTAGGCAATGGCGATTCAGAACTGAGGCACTCACAGCTTTTGATGGAGCCACCACCCTCCCCCTCTTGATAACCCACCATTTAATCTGTGCTTATGATGAAGCAGGGCAGGCAGAGACTGAGGGCGTTGGCCTTTGGATTCAGGCAGGATAGGATTTAAATCTGGGTCCTGCTTTGTGCTATTCCTTAAATGGGAACTACATCAATGAGTGGTAGTTAATATTTCTAGCAATACTTAGTGCTCCGTGTGATGAGAGGAAAGCACCCAGGCTTTTGACAACAGACATCTGAGTGTTGCCTGGGGTTTGGTATGAGGAGGAGCCAAGGTTCCCAGGGAGCAAGTGTAGGATTGAAATTAGGAGGTCTCTGCTGTTCTACTCTGGCCAGGGCAGGAGCCTCTTTCCCTTGGGCCCCCTTGACAGTGAGTATGGACTGGGTTCTTCCCTGAGTCTATAGTTTTCTCTCTACTTCCAGGACTCAGCTCTGCAGTGCCCAGATCCCTGGGCCATTATGTTAGGCACCCTGCTTGCCTTTCAAGGGAAGCCTAAGAGTTGTCTGTCCCACAAGTGTGTTTAGCAGCCCACACAAGGTCGGGGCCTTCACACACTTGAATAACCAGGGATGGGCAGCCAGCAGGCAGCTGCTCAGAGCCTAGGGTCAGAGCGTGGGCCTCTAACCCCCCAACTGGCCTGGCTATACTGGCTGATTCATTTCGGGAGGTGGCTTGTGGCCCTGGCTGGTCTGCAGGCTCCCCTCTGATTTGGCAGCACCATGCTCTGGGGACTCAGAGGGACCTTGGCTGACAGCTGGTGCACCATTTCCAAGCCTTTTGTTTAAATTTTCTTACAAGCAGCTTTTTCCCCCTCCCAAACAAATTTTATGAGGGAGCCTAACATGCAAAGCAGATAAGAAAAATGGACCTGCTCCAGGGTACATCAGGTGGAAGATGATGGGGATGAAGAGGGACAGTGGTGGCCTTTTCCACCCCTACCTTCTCTTTCCCTGGTCCTTGAGACGCAAGGAGAATCCTGGGACTCTGAGGGACAGCCCTAAGCTGTAGATTCAGTCCCACTCCCGTCCATACGTCTCGGATGGTGACTAGCCCAGGGACGAGCGACATTGTATGGGTACATTGACTGGTGTCGGCTGGGACCTGCAGAGCTGCCGGGTGGGCTCAGGAATCGGGAAAAGGCCTGCTGCAGGTCCAGACCGTCCCCCTTATTCTGCACTGTCTCCAGACTGCCTCTGCTCCTTCACCATTTCATTTCCCCACAGAGAGATGAATCCAAACTGTCAGATCAGCGTGCTGCTCTGTGTGAGGGCCAGAACCCCCTGCCCATCTACCTCACCATCAATGTCAAGGATGATGTAAGCAACCAGGATTTCAGAGGTAACACTGGTGGCTAGAAATTTATAAGGGTGTCCCTTCTCGGCAGGCAAAGGTACCCAGCGCCCCAGCACACGCACAACCCACCACATACCTTTGCCTCCCTCCGTCTCGACTTTGCTACCCCTTCTGTGTGGCTAGATCAGGCTGGTGGGGGCTTGTGGCTTTTCTAGGAGCAGACGTTTGATGGGACGGGGTAATAAAGTTAGGAAGGGAAGGGGTTCTAGGAGGGCAGGCCCCCCTTTGAATTAGAGGAGTGACAGAATGAGGGACTCTAGAAACCTGCCCTGCTTCGAGGTCGGTTGTGGTCTCTGTTTACCCAGTTGGGTGGAGCAAATGAACCATGCAGGTGGCAAAGCTGGTTTGCCTGGCCAACAGAAACCAGTCGTGGGCGCCCCCTTGTGCCCTCTGGGGGGACTGCGGCCTCCCTGTCACAGGTCCCCCAAGGCCCCGGACCTGTAGGAGCCCTGAGGAGGGAGGGTTGGACTGTCCAGGCTGGAGAATGACACCCCGCCCTGCTGCTTCCTGGGCAGAGTGGTGTGAGTTCTCCCCCTACGAGGTGGGCCTGCAGAAGTACGGGGCCTTCATCCCCACCGAGCTCTTCGGCTCCGAGTTCTTCATGGGGCGGCTGATGAAGAGGATCCCAGAGTCACGGATATGCTACATGCTAGGTGACTCCTGACCCAGGGAGGCCCATGGGCACCCCGCCCCATGCTGGGCAGGCCCCCCTTTGAATTAGAGGAGTGACAGGGAGGCCTGCTCCGTTCCCCCAGGATCTTGTCCTGGGTGCTAGTGCTGGTTTGGGTTATCCCTGGAGCATGCGACCCTCCTGCATTTGCCAGCATGCCCTCATCTGTCATGGGGGTCCCGCTGCCCTGTGGGGGGAGGGGAATCAAAGTCTGTCTCACCCCCTGAGCAGCCCGACTGGGAGGGAACATCAAGGCCAAGGTAGAAGCAGTCAGTGTTTGGGTGGCTGGGGCCTCTGGGGCAGAGGTGCTCACAGCTGGCCCTGCCCCCTAGGCTTGTGGAGCAGCATCTTCTCCCTAAACTTGCTTGATGCCTGGAATCTGTCCCAAAGCTCGGAGGAGTTTTTCCACAGATGGACCAGGGAGAGAGTGCACGACATCGGTGGGTGACCCCGCTGGCTTCCCCTCTTGGTTGGGTGATGCGGGGGAGGGGTGGATCACAAAGCAAGGCCCAGTCCACCTGCCTCATGTTTCAGCGTCATCTCTGTGGTTCAGAGATGAGAAAGCAGCTAGGGTGGGGTCGTCCCTGCCTGGAGGGGAGGGTGATCAAGTCTCCGGCACAAGCCTCAGGGGTCCGCCCGGGCCTGGCTGGGGGTGGAGGAGGGGCCAGCAGAGTGGTACAGTGCCCAGGAGAGCTAAGGGGGTAGGGATCCACAAGCACAGTTACAGGGGGGCTTCTAGATTCCCTGTCCTCTCTGGGACCCGCGCCCCTTACCTGTCATCACCCCTCTTCTCCACCACCCTGTCCCTGGTCTCTAAGTCTCCAATGCCAGGACCTTAACAACTAGGCAAAGAAGGGTGAACCGCACTTACAGTGCTGACCCCTGGGTGCCGGGTAACCATGCAGGCTCCGCCTGGGCCACCGGGGGACCCCAGCTCTTGTGACCCGCCTTCCGTCCTCCCTCTCCCCTGCAGAAGATGAGCCACTCCTGCCCGAAATCCCCAAATGTGATGCCAACGTCTTGGACACTACAGTGGTGATCCCAGGGTCGTGGCTCTCCAATACTTTCCGCAGCATCCTCACCCACCGGGCCTTTGTGTCTCAGTTCCACAACTTCCTGTTGGGCCTGCAGCTGCACAGCGACTACCTCCAGAACAGCCAGTTCTCCATGTGGAGAGGTAACCCTCCCTGGCCGCCTGCCTCTGCCTGGATAAAGCGGAAGTGCGTGTTGAGGCTGCCGTGGAGAAAGGGTGGCAAAGCTCCTCTGACCATGTTCGTAGGGGTGGGGGGAAGGGGGGGCAGACTCTCCCGAGGGCGTCTTCCATGTTTGGTGAGGTTCTGAACGTAGGTGGAGCAGTGTTGGTATTTAATTACTTGAATCGGTACAACAATCCCAGCAGGTAGAAGTTGGGACCCTGTTGGGGAAATGTGGGCCCTGACTTTCTCTCGTTGTGCTCTGGGGGCACCTTTTAATGTGAATGGTGCCCCCAAGAGTTGGGTAGGGATGGCCCAGCTCAAGAACCCCCAAATGGTAAGTGGCAGAGCCAGGTCTTAAATTGTGGTCATGTAGCTTCAACTCAGTGCCCCCTCCCCACCCTGCTCGAAGACTGACTCGCCCCCATCGTTGGTATTTTCCTTGGCCACAGCCTGCAAATGGCTGCTTTGACCTAGCCTAATAATCCTCATTCTCGCTATCTGGGGCAGAAAGCGTAGCTGGCTCTGGGCCCAAGGTGTGCACTAATTTATAAGATAGTCTTATACCCCCGCAACCCCAAAGCTCTGTGGCTGGTTTTTCAGTCAGAGTGGTTTTTCTCTGTGTGTTCCATAAAAGACTTGCTACAACACCAAGATAATGCTATTCTTTATCAGCCCACCCCAAGGGGCACTGGGACTCACTGGGGGTCCTGGCTGGAAGGGGGAGGGCCCAAAGCCCAGGCCCAGGGGAAGGAGCTCCAGGCAGGGCATTCTGTCCACAGAATGGGACCATCCGCTGAGATCAGGGCACCAGGGCGTGATGGTAACTGGAAATCTTGGCTTTCAGACACGGTGCTAGATGGTTTCCCAAACCAGCTGACAGAGTCTGTGAGCCACTTGTGCCTGTTGGACACCGCATTCTTCGTCAACTCCAGCTACCCACCCCTCCTTAGGCCCGAGAGAAAAGTCGACCTCATCATCCACCTCAATTACTGTGCTGGGTCCCAGACAAAGGCGAGTGTGACAAAGAAAGGCTCCTGCCTGAGCAGGAGCGCTGTGCCTCTTCTGAGACAGGCCACATACTGAGCCTTCACGAAACTGGGAAATGGAAGAACATGCATTCCCCACAGGCCCCAAGACTTAGCATCAGAGAAACTCAGGTGGCTCTACCTGACATGAGGTTAGCCATCCAAGCCTCGGGGGGCAGCTGGCTGGCCCTCACATGCAGTGTGGGCTTTAAAGAGACCCAGGGAGTGAATTCTAGTTTTATTTCAGCAATTTTATTATCTGACCATTTGCTGTATTTGGCAATTCATCAGCTGCAAAAAAAAAGGAGTTCTTAAAAATAACCTTAATGGAGTCCAGTCAGTTTTGTTTTGTTTTTTTTTAAGATTTTATTTATTTATTTGAGAGAGAGAATGAGATAGAGAGAGCATGAGAGGGAGGAG